GCTACCACTTGAGCCACATCCCCAGCCCCAAGCCCTTTTTATTTTTAAAAATTTTTGATAGGGTCCTCCTGCTAGGTTGCTGAAACTGTTCTTCAAATTGTGATCCTCCTGCCTCAGCCTCCTGAATTGCTGGGATTGCAGGTGTGCATCACTGCACATGTCTGGTTGCAGACCATTTTTTATGTAAAAATTGACAAATTGCCTTCACCCATTCTGAAGTGCAGGAAAGGAGTGGAAATAGAATAATACTAAAACTGATCTCATAATTCATTTAGATAGTAGCTCTATGATATCTGTCTATTCACACACTCAATAGATTCCAACTGTTATTATCACCCAGTTTCTGAGTGATGGGAGTAGAGTCCCTCAAGAAACTATGTTGGGCAGTGGGTGTGACTTTCTTGTAGTTTTCCCTTTACTATCTAACGTGGGGTTCCTTCTAGCCCATGCAGAACTTTAATGAAGTCTCTGAAGACTAAGGGATACATAACCTCAAAAATAAATGGATCTGGGGGCTGAGGTTGTGGCTCAGCGGTAGAGCATTCGCCTAGCACGTGAAAAGCCCTGGGTTCAATCCTCAGCACCACATAAAAGTAAAATAAAGGTATTGTGTCCAACTACAACTAAAAAAATAAATATTAAAAAAAAAAAAAAAAAATGGATCTGGGCCCCAAGGCTGGGATTGCCGGGGAGTCTCCGGTCAGCCAGAACGGCCACCAGGGGGCACCGCTGTCACGCACAGCATCTGTCCCCGCTTGGGCTGGGTGTGCGCTTTCGGGCCGGCGGTGGGGGCGTGGCTAGCGTGCGCACGGGGCGTGGACAACATGCCCGCGGGCACGACTGGAGGCGGGGCACGCGGCGGGCGCGGACACGCGCGGCGGCGGCGGCGCGTTCCGTTCCGGGCCAACGCTGGCGGCGGAAAAGTTGCCGGGCGGAGAGGAGCAGCCCCGGGACGGGCAGAGAGCGCGACGCGGAGCCGGCTCCCGGCCCTGGCTGCCCCGCCATGGACGACCTCGGTGAGTGAGCGGGAGGCCGCGGGAAGAAGCAGCGAAGGGCGCGCGGCCCGGGGCCCGGCGGGCGCGAGCGATCGGCAGGGGCCGAGGAATCCCACCCCCCGGCGGCCCACACCCGGCTCCAGTCCCTGCTGGCCGGGGTTCCGAGAGGTCGGATCCCGAGCTGGGCCTGAGTCCTGGGCCAGGCCAATCCCACCGGGGTCCTCTCAGCAGTCGCCCCTCACCTGGGGACGGCCCATCTCCGGACCCCCAACCTCGGCGACCCGTCCCCATGTCCCAGATCCGACCCAGGTACCAGCTCACCCCGCGGGGACCCACTCGGTCTTCCTCAGGCAGGGGACCCGCTCCCTGGGCCAGGCTGCCTTCTCAGGTGCGGGACCCTCACTACGCAGACTGCTCCCCACCCCCACCGCTGGTATCCACTGCCCATCCTAGGGGCAGCTGCCCAATGTCATGGGCTGGTCTCGCATTTCTGGGATCCGCTTTCACTCCTTCCAGGGCCGTCCCCAGCTTCAGGCATAGTCCCTCCGAGCCCACCAGTTTCATTGTACAAGTCGGATTCATCAACTAGAGATGAGCAATCCATGACCACACCCCCAATGCAATGACAAGTTTCCCAGTCTACTCTCCTAACCACTAAGCCCCCACCTCAGTCTGGTCACAAGGTTTCATGGATCCAGTAGTGGTCCATTTCCCTGTAGGGACCAGCTGTCCAATCACAGACCGCCCCACCTTAGAGGACAAGATGAGGAGTCATGACCCCTCCCCAGGCCCAGGTGAAAAGCCAGAGGAATGAGGTGGGAAGTGAGTCGCAAGATGTACCATCCCTAACGTGTCCTGGCTGGCAGGGTCCCCCACTCCTAGCATCAGGTGCTGCTGGAGCTATGCAGGTAAGGAGGACAGGACGCCCAGAACAGAGTTTTACTGTTTTCATGTTATTGGAGATCTGAGGTTGCTCTTTTCAGCCCAGTCTTGATTAGGACAGGGGAAAGAAAGTATCTCCTGGAAGCCAACTGTAAACCCAAGGGAGTTGGTGCCAGGGTTCTAGGAAAGCCTTGAGCGGCATGAATCCCAGATAGGAAGATTCAATGTCTGTCTCTCCCTTCGGAGATGCAGAGGTGAGGGGGGGGGGCAGGTTTCTTCTCTGTAGGACCCTTGTCTTCCTTCTCTGGACTGTGGGTGGCTTGTGTGACCACTGATGCCTCTTCTGTCCCAAGCTCTGAGGAGCAGATTCATCAGACAGGACTGATGGGGGCTTTCCCACGCAGCACAGGGCACTAAGTTAAGACTTGCTATTTGTATGCATTGAACTCGACTGTTTCCCTGTAGCTTCCTTGTGGGGTCAGGGATCCCCTGAGAGGTCCTGGAGCTGAGGGAGGTGTAGGGTCCTGCCTGTTTTGCAATGGTTGCCAAGCATAGTTCTGCTTTTGGGTCAGGCTTGGCACCCATTTTTCCAATGTACTCAAGGTTGGCATGGATTCCAGGCAGGTATTTTTGTTCACATAAAAATAACTAAGCTGAATGGAGGCTGGGGATGTGCTTTGAATCAGGATTTGAAAGTCTTATTGCTTTCCCAGTGGGAACTAGGGAGCAGAGTTACAGTTTCTAACATGCTGGTGGGGTTCTGTTGCTTCTGGACAGTCCCCTGGCTGTTTGAAGGACTGAGAAAGTCTTTGTAGAGTTCGCAAAGTCCGGAATTCCTGTCTTCTGACGGTCTTCCATTTAGGGCCAGGAAACTGAGTTAGTTTTTGAAAGAAAGAGAGTGTACTGGCATAGAGGATTGTAGGAATTGAAACTTGCTATTTATGGAGTACTTCTCTATACCTGGATTTGTCCCATCCTCACAATCTTTTTGGGAGATCTCTCTGAGCCCATTACCATCATGACTACTTGTCTTTACAAATAGAAAAAAATGGGACAAAGGCTGATTCTCCCACCTCAGGTTACACAGTCATGAAATGGCAAAAACAGGAGTGGAAGTCCCATCCTTAGCTCCTTGATCTACAGCTCTTGTGTACCAAGAAACATTTCTTCTTGGGGCGGGGGCAAGCAGGCCCTTGAAGAGGGGTTGCAGTGGGCAACGGCTGCCACCTGTGATTTCTTCGATGCTCCCCCTTCCCCCTGTCCACCAGACTCTCCAGTTGCTTGGATCTGGGCTGTCAGACTTCCTTGGCCTGTGTTCCCAGGGGGCCAGCCACGCCTGGCTGACTGGAGCCTGGGGTGGGAGGAATGGGGTGTGCAGGAGAGGAGAGGAATTTGCCTCTGAGCCTAGGCCCGTCAGCTGTCTGGATGGTTGCTGGGGACACTGCCTGTCAGCTGTTTTCTTTAGTTAGGGTAGACACAAAGGCCAGGCCTCTTGTTTTTATTTTGCTTCTGAGAGTGCTCTCAGCTGTGAGTCTCTTGGTCCTTAACACAGGTGAGAGTTTACATTGGTCTGTCCTGTGGCAGGGTTACCAGGAGCACAGCCCCCTTTGTGACTTTGTTTTCTGGTCTTAAAAAAAAAAAGGAGAACTCTTCCCCTCCCCATAGTGGCTGGTGACAGAATCACCATGTGCTGTTTAATAAGTTACAAATTTATAGCTCTTTGGGCAGAAAAACATAAACACAGCATGTCCTGCCCTTCTCTGTGTGTTCTCTCCACTTCGGGTTGCTGGGTGGCTGCTTGGTGGCTTTTCTCATTACTGTTTAGATGCTGGTTTGGCTGGGAGTTCACTCTGTTCGGGTCTGGCCGAAGTTTCCTGGACAGAGTTCCCACAACACTGCTATGTGCTCTGATTATGTTTTCTGCCCCAACTCCTCTCTCCCACCTTGTTCTCATTCCTAATGTACGGGGAGAGGGGGGACAGTGTGTGACCCCAGCTGTGGCCTAACCATGATCATGTGTGCTCTATGGGAGAAAGGCAACATACTTAGAACTTTTCAAGGTCTGTTACAACTGTGCAAGAGGGAGGTGCTGTATCTCTGCTTTCCAAATGCAGAAACCTGAGCTCAGGGAAGTTCAGTGGTGGAGCAGGGGTTTGAATCCAGGCTGATCCAGTTCCAGATCTGGTAATCTTAATCATAAGGCAGTAGGTGCCAGTGACCAGCCAGGGGATGACCCACAAGGCCTGCTGACTACTCAATAGTTATCTTGAAAATTTCTGCCCTGTGGGCATCCCTAGGAAATGGCATGTATGGCAAAGGGTGGGTCCAGTTCAGGACTTGATAGTTTTGCCTTCCCATTCACTGGGGGGGGGGGGGGGGGGGGGGGGGGGGGGGGGGGGGGGGGGGGGGGGGGGGGGGGGGGGGGGGGGAGGAGAGGGCGGGGGGGGCGGGGCGCGGGGGGGGGGCGGGGAACGGACAGCCAGCTGTTGGCAGTGCCCTGTTGCTGCTGGAATCTGGACATGTCTTCTCTCAGCTTCTCAGCAGTCTTGACCCTTTGGAAAACAGTGCCTCATTGTCCTTGGGGGCAGTGCTAGGGGGGCAGGGGAGTTGCCTAGGGCATTCCGGGCTTTGGAACCTCCCTGTTTCCATGGAAAGTCTGTACTTTGGGCTTGCCCGTCTGTGGTGCCTCTGTGTGTTAGGCCAGGGTCAGGGCACCCAGCTGCTTGGCCTATGGCGGAGGCAGCATTTGCTTGTGGAGTGATGGTACCCTCCTGGTGGGTGCTTCCTCAGCTGGATGCTAGTGAGAGACCAAGCTGGGATTCAAACCCTGGTGTGTTTGATTCTTAAGCAGGTGCCCTTTCAGATATGGAGTGGAGAGGTTAGTGCCCTAGGGGGCCTCAGCTCCATTAGTATGGGGTCAGGGTCTTCTGAGGGAATATCTCAGTATTCCTTTTCCTGTTCCCTAGTGATGGCCATGAATTAGACAGGTTAGGTGGATCCTTGACCAGAGAGCCTCATGGAGGGCCAGAGTTACAGCTGAGGCTCTGGGTACCTCTCTCCCCCATTTATTCAAAGCACATAGTTTTTGGCCTTTGAATCTTCTCTCTGGTCTTCACCATGTTCCTAGGCCAGAGATATTGAAAGACATCTTCCCAGCTTCATACCAGCCTTTCCCTGGGTTGTCTTAATCTTAGTGCTTTCATTAATAAAATAAATATCTATAGAATACTTTTCTTTTTTGAGATGGAGTCTTGCTATTTTGCTGGTATTGAACTCCTGGACTCCAGTAATTTTCTGGCCTCAGCTTCCTGAGTGTTGGCATTATAGGTGTATACCCTGTGCCTGACCCATCCTTTCCATTTCTTTCTTTTTTTTGCTTTCCTTTCCTTCCTGGTCCTCAGGATTGAACCCAGGAGTGCTCTACTGCTGAGCTACATCTCCAACCCTTTTTATTTTGAGATAGTGTCTAAGTTGCCCAGGCTGGCTTTGAACTTGCCATCTTCCTGCTTCAGCCTTCTGAACAGTTGGGATTATAGGTGTGTACTACTATGCCCAGCTTTATACTTTTCTTTTTTTACAGTGTTTACAGAAGAACTCTTTTCTATAAATTTGTTTAGAGGAAGAAAGGTTTATTTTGTTTCACTGTTTCAGAGGTCTCTGTGATTGGCACTTTCCATTGCTCTGGACTTGAGGTGAGGCAGAATATCACGGTACAAGGGCATGGCAGATGGAAGCTTCTCAGCTCATGACAACCAGGAAGCAGAGAGAGAGAGAGATGGGGGAAAGGGGGAGGAAGAGGGAGAGGGGGTTAGAAAGAGAGAAAGCGAGCTTCCAAAAATTTTATTTAGTACTTATTTTGTGTAGGCACTGTGCTGGGGACCTTACATGCACTGTCACATTGAATCATGTCAGTTGTATGGGGCAGGTTCTGTTAATTTTAGTATTAGTAGTGACAGTAATACTCATTTTACAGAGGAGGAAACTAAGGAACCGGGAGGGAAGCCCACCTGCCCAAGTTCTAGTGAGAGGCAGGGCTAGGATTTGAATTCAGCTTGTCTGCAGAATCAAACTTATAACCAACTATTCTTTACAATTCTGTTCATGCTACCATATTTAATCTTTGTCCTATTGATTTGATT